GGACACAACACCCGTATAAACGCCGTTCCCTCCCCTTTGACACAAAACACATTTTTATTGAATCCCACTTCCCATGTTTGCTGTTTTCTGCGCTACATAATATGCTACAATCATAGTTGATTTTCTTGGGGAAACACTCGCTTTATGGTACACACATATAACCGCTCTCAAGTGTTGTACTGCTGCAGGCGGTTAAGTATTGCGTCGATCTGAAATTGAAGTATATATATATATATATATATATATATATATATATATATATATATATATATTACCACATGCTTCAATGACAGATTATAACTCTGCGCTATTCAGCATTCAGTGAGGAACCGCAAACATATACCAATATAAGAGGCCATTAATCCGCAGAGTTGAATGATGTTAATAAGACAATAGTTTTAGCCTCATTCCTGGCAGAAAAACCAGGCCAATGGAGATATAGTTCGGATGATATTTGGGCAACATGCCTCTATCGAAACAATACCAGAAGTTTGCTACTGCTCTTGTTTTTGAATTGCTATTGCTTTTGCTGTTTGAAGGTTGCTTCTGCTATTGTTTTCATTAAGTTTGTTGTCGAAATATTAACCGAACTATATCTCCATTGTCCTGGTCTTTCTCCGAAAAATAAGGCTAATTCTGTCTTTTCTATATGAGTGATGTTCCTCGCTAATGCACTGCACAACTCACGTAATTCTAAATGGTGTTGAATGATGTTGAAATCATTTTTAAAAACGCTTAGAGAACAAATGCAATATGCGTCGCTCGGCAGATCACTACCGCGGATTAACACTGGTTATTAGGTACAAACCCACCTCGTACGTTCAGGCCGACGCAATACCTACCCGCCTGTGAGCACGACACAAGGTTCGCATACAGCTACATGTGAATGTCATGAGACGTGTGTTTGTTTGAAAAATCGAGTGTGAAAGTCAGGCACGGCGTGAGAGAGAAGCCATCACATTTGGGACGGATAAATCAATCACGTGCCTTTTGGGCTGCAAGCGTAGAAACGTGAGAGCTCTACGTCTCATGCCCCCCCCCCCCCTTCCAAGATTGTTGAGATATACCCTACGGCAACCAATGAAAGCAATGACTGCAAAATGAGTATGGGCGACGACTCTTTCTGAGACGTTCCTCTGCCTAGGTCTCGGCACGCAGCGCCAGTCCACATATTACCTTTCCAGCCAAGCACTTCCATTTACCTTCCGGCCGTCTCTTGTAAAATCTCGAATTTCACTGCATGACATCGCTGTTCTGCATTTATAAACTACTGCAAGGTGATCCAAATTATTCCTGGGCACAACGTTATTGAGGTAAGTTCAAGCAAGTTCAAGAGTAGCAAGTAGTAGTTCAAGTAGCAAGTTCAAGAACTTTCGTCCCGTCGCACCGAGGGATTCTCAGGGTTCGGGTCCCTGAGAAGGCAAACTGCTGTGTTCTACCACTGTATCTAGCGGTAGGCCTGCATGTTTACAAGTTGTGTTGACTTATGGTGGGTGTGTAGCGCTATTTGCAGTGCTGATCTCGACTATAGCCTAAACAAGTGCGAAATGGAAACAAGCTTGCTCGCACGACTTGGTCAGAAATGTTCGAGTTAAGCGTGCTGGGAACATCTCGGTGTAAGACTCGTAGAACGACTGCACGTTGGCCGATATCCAAACTTGGACCCGAGTTGTGTGATATTAGTTTTACAGCAGCAACAAAGCGACATTGCCATTATTAAGTCATGATCTTGCTTGGAAGCTGGCGTATATTCAGGTGGTGACCAGACAGGGACGTAAGTTCTTCCTTTATCCGATAGGTGGCAGCACCGTGATAAGAGACCGTCCAGTGTTGAGTTGAAATTCACTCGTGATTTATGGTCTTGAGCAGCGGAAAAGCGATCGCGTTTATCAAGACATATCCACCGTTCCGTACAGGTCCGATTGGTTGTGATTGGACTTCAGATACCACAGCATTCACATTCGAAGAATACTTTGTTACAACGGAATTCTAGCTAACGGTTAACGCTGTAACATTGTTGACATGATGATCAAATGGATCGCAGGCAAATAAGATTAGCGTAATATGTTTCTGTGGTCGTATCGACTGTCATTTTGATTGCAGGGATTGCTCTACGAATCGATTCGTGGAATATCCGCCCTGGTTATGTCACCAGTCTATAGACAGTGATGCTGACCCTAACATAAGTAAGCAAGTTTTTCGTTCGGACAAAACTGAGCAGCCATCTGTAATTTTTGGCCGGCGTAGCGTGACGGGGCACCCGTGCACATCTTTGGGAGAGTTTACTCCCTGTACGACAGCGCAGGAAAAGAGAAAGGATGAAAACAATCACTCGTTTCCCGAAGCCACTGCCCCACATTTTGCCCGTGTTAAACTCCACTGAACGTATAAAAATTGTACTCCCGTGGACAAAGGGGGCGAAACAAACGGATGATGCGGATGCGGATGATGCGGATGATGAGCCGATGTTTCTCCGCAGGTCTCAGCATGCTGATAGCGCCGCTGTTCATCGTTGTCCCGTTGGTGGCCACTCATCCGGCGACTCCCGGTAAGTGTGACAGCACTGTGTGACACCGGGCTACGGCAAGTGTGACAACACTGTGTGACACCTGGCTACGGTAAGTGTGACAACACTGTGTGACACCGGGCTACGGTAAGTGTGACAGCACTGTGTGACACCGGGCTACGGTAAGTGTGACAGCACTGTGACACCGGGCTACGGTAAGTGTGACAACACTGTGTGACACCGGGCTACGGTAAGTGTGACAACACTGTGTGACACCTGGCTACGGTAAGTGTGACAGCACTGTGACACCGGGCTACGGCAAGTGTGACAACACTGTGTGACACCTGGCTACGGTAAGTGTGACAACACTGTGTGACACCGGGCTACGGTAAGTGTGACAGCACTGTGTGACACCGGGCTACGGTAAGTGTGACAGCACTGTGACACCGGGCTACGGTAAGTGTGACAACACTGTGTGACACCGGGCTACGGTAAGTGTGACAACACTGTGTGACACCTGGCTACGGTAAGTGTGACAGCACTGTGACACCGGGCTACGGCAAGTGTGACAACACTGTGTGACACCTGGCTACGGTAAGTGTGACAACACTGTGTGACACCGGGCTACGGTAAGTGTGACAGCACTGTGTGACACCGGGCTACGGTAAGTGTGACAGCACTGTGACACCGGGCTACGGTAAGTGTGACAACACTGTGTGACACCGGGCTACGGTAAGTGTGACAACACTGTGTGACAACGGGCTGCGGTAAGTGTGACAGCACTGTGTGACACGGGGCTACGGCTGACGCCTGGTGAAGGAAATCTGGCTTCTCGGCCCCGCTCGACCTGCCCGCTGAACACCGCCTTGTTTGTGAACCCGGCGCCCCGCAAATTTGGCTGTTGGTTCATTGTTTTTGACGAGGGACGCTCCTAGAAATTCGCGACGGTCGACGGTCACAGTGTTGCGTAGGCATTCTCCGTCTTCGGCCCCTTCGGAGATGTCCCCCGACGGGCGTCAAGTGTCGCTCGCCGAATGCTCTGCTCGTGCTGAGCGGGGGGGGGGGGGATGAGGCCGACCTGCGTCACGTGCGCCGGGTCGTCGTGTAGGTCAGCGGGACCTTGCGGAGACTCGGACTAGTGTGGCCGCGGGTATGGAAAGCACCCGTAAATAACATGTTGACAAAGACATACATCATCTAGAACATCTGACTGCGTGCCGAAAGCGACCGTGTCGTCAAAAATGAACAAAGAAACCCATGGAAACGAGACGACGGCTTCCGCAGCTCCTTCACTTCGGGGAGACGGTTTCTTCTTCCGGTAGAGAAGACAATGCGACCCTGTAGCCTTTTAAGGCGCCTTGTACCCGCTAGTGATGCGCCGGTTCCGCCTAATGGCCGGCCGCCTTGTTTCAGGTCCGAGAGAGAAGGTCGTGCATATATCTGGTACCGCGAAGCTGAATTGTCCCCGCGGCAGGGAGGCGAGGAAGAGCATGCTGCTCGTGGAGCTCCGCTGGTACCGGAACGATCAGCTGTTCATGACGAAGCGAACCAGAAGTGACGTGGCCGACTTCACGACCCGTGACCCGAGGACCTCTCTCCAGAGAAACAGGTGAAAGGGTCAAACAGCGCCATACGCTGCTGTGGCTGGTCGTGCGAACGCGAGCCAAATTCACTGTAACTGACGATGGCGATAACCTGCGTTCGATATACTTCGCCATGTGTGTAGCAAGCTGCAAGGTCAGCGAAACTGTGTCTAATTTCGCTTCAGCGAAATTAAAGGGAATGTCTCAAGTTTGAGGATATTGAAACAAACATCAGATGCGATGAAACAAGCTCACTTTTAACTATTGGTGTACTTTTGAAGTGGAAAAGACTGCTCTAGACAGTACAATTCTCTGTTTACCAGACATGCTCCTCAATGCGTCATGGTTTAAATACGTCATTGTACCTTGCACAGCGTTGATTGAGAGTCAGTTGGCGGCTATTATATCTGCAAAGTGCGCTCACGAACGCCAGATATGAACGCATCGACAATCATATAATTAATGGCCTTGATCGTCGCATAGGTTGTGGACTGGCAGGATTTGAATGGCGTCATTATGACGTCACGAATGCCGAAGTGACGTTGAAATACTCTGCCCGATATACCTTTCCCCATTTTCGCGGGCATGTAGCTCAGAAACTAAAAGGGTTAGGTCTTAAAAGGGCAGGACTGTGAACAGCGCCGGAAGATCTCAAATATCATTAAGATGGCTATTTCATTTCAAACCTCCGCATCAATGTGGACGGCTCCCTCCAACGCCGGTCTCAACTCACGTCAATGTGCCAGTACGCGTCAGCCTGGACACTATGTGCCAGTGCGCGTCAGCCTGGACACTAAGTGTCAGTGCGTGTCAGCCTGGACACTATGTGCCAGTGCGCGTCAGCCTGGACACTATGTGCCAGTACGCGTCAGCCTGGACACTATGTGCCAGTGCGCGTCAGCCTGGACACTATGTGCCAGTGCGTGTCAGCCTGGTCACTATGTGCCAGTGCGCGTCAGCCTGGACACTATGTGCCAGTGCGCGTCAGCCTGGACACTATGTGCCAGTGCGCGTCAGCCTGGACACTGTGCACGTGCGCACGAGGCAGTGTGCTGTGTCAGCTGTTGTGGGGGCCGGGTCTGCAGACGGCGTGTCGCACCTGTCGCTGGGCACGTTTTCAGCTCATGGGTCTGCACGGGTCCTCTCGGTGGCAATGTGGCTCAATGTGGCTGAAATTGTGAAACGTGTGACCGTGTCTCGGCACCTGTTGGTCGGAACGACAAGAAATTCACACGTAAACAGTCGTTTTTTATAGATACCAAAACACGTAGGCTTGGTAGACAGTCGCATTTTGGATTGCGTAGTGCCGGCTTGCGGTTGCGCGTGTAACGTTTCGCGTTTACAGGAGCGGTCGAGATGGGCTTGCCCGGTTTTTACGATGTTTACGTTTACGCGGTGTCTCGACGGCCAGAGCAGATGGAGGCATGCGAATTTCAAACCGTCGACCAGGGATGTACGCAGATAGCAGATGCGGGGGTGGGGGCGCGTGTCCTTCCCTCCCCGCCACACACCAGCTATATGGCATGTATTGATATGTACGTGACCAGATGTTGGCAGTTTGACAGGTAGCAGTTCCAGGGATAGACACGTAAACATTAGAACGTTAGGGACTTATGGTACTATTTTGCAACGCGCTTTTGCGGCTGTTATTTTACGATACACTTCAGTTGTGCCCCTCCCCCTCTACGTGAAATCCTGTGCGCGCCCCTAGCGTAGATCATTTTACCGTACAGAGTGAAACGGCCCAATCATCGCGCTGTTTTGTGCCTGGAAGTCACGGAACTTTCTTCAGCTGTCGTCCATGTAATAAATGTCATAGGAAAGCTGTATTGACGCGCTTATGCATTACTTCAACTCCTTGCACTGTGAGTGTAAAAGAAGCTGCACACATAAAGTGGGTAAAAACTTACGAATAGTACGTGCTACTGAAGCTGGGGACTAATGGGAGTGTTTTGCAGCTTCAATCGACATCTGTGGCCACGAGAAGGCAGCACTGCGGAGTGTTCAATGAGACGTCCCTTAGAATGGCTGGGTCGCGCAGCAGCGTAGACGTTACAGCTGTATGAATCAGTAGTAACGGCAACCATAAGCCAGCCTGTCGCTGCTGCACGAGGCCCGGGGCTCCGCTGGTGTTGGAGGCTGGGACGGTTTCTTGGAAGGTGTTGATCAAGCAAATCTTTGGCTACATTAAACTTGTGGAGAGAGCCCATAAAAGCTGTACACCATTATAATCTCACTTTAGGAAGCAAGTGCTGGTAATACCTGCATGCTTTAGATGAATTGTTATTGGTTCTTTGTCTCACAAGTGGTTTGAGCTTCGCATGCTCCGTCGACTGACAAAATGGACTAACACCTGTATTACCTGTTTGACTTGGTATGCGAAAGAAATGCTTCAATATCCCAGTTTTTGGCATTGTATGATCGGGGTCCTTATGCTGAATTGTCGACCGTCAACATGCTAGGAGGTACGGATGAACCGAAGATGTAGTGCGGACATTGGCTATATGAACTACATCTGGACGCTGCGTTATAACAAAATAAATATAGGCTGTATTGCCAAAATAGCATATGTTTGTAGTACGTCGTTTAACAAGTGCTTTCTGGCATATCTGAAGATCGACTATTCAGCCTCAAAACTCTGAACTGAGAATTCACCGTGAGGGTTTGTCTCAGGTTCTAATGAACACCTTCCCCAGCAGCTTGTGCTTACTTTCAGAACAGTGTGGAATTCGTAAGAGTTCAGACTTTTGGTATGATTTTCCTCCAGAATATGTTTATGAACAGGGACGGGGAGGCGCGAGAGGTCAAGACACCATTTTCGTAAAACTTTTGCGTAGTTTACTCGATTTTGCTGCAGAGCAGAATTGGCTGGCAGACTAAGTGCATCCCCCACCTTGCACGCATCTCTCCAGTACAGCATTGCAACGTCCTGCGGGTTCGGCCTGATGTGGCGGATCGCGAGTGTCTCGAAATTGTACACATAATTGCAGAGTGTGACGTCTGCGTCTACAAACAGCGCAAAAGTCACTTCTACATATAAAGCAATAAGTTATTCCACGTATTTCGCAGCTTTTGGGCCGCGTTGGGAGGCACTCCCTGCTTACCGCCACTATTTCAGCTCCCATTCGATCAACAGTGGAAACACGTAATTTGTATGTCGCGAAGCAGCTGATGGCCGTGGGTCGGAAACATCGACGCCGGTGAGGAGCGCCGCTGTGACTGAGGACGTACTCATCGGCTCCTGTACCGGACTGGTGATGCAGAACGTACTGACCGATCCTCTCACAGGGATGACGATCCGGGACGTACTGACCGGCTCCTCTCTCCAGGCTGGTGACTAACCGGCTCCTCTCTCCAGGCTGATGGCTGGCCGGCTCATCTCTCCAGGCCGATGATCCGGGACGTACTGACCGGCTCCTCCCTCCAGGCTGGTGACTGACCGGCTCCTCCCTCCAGGCTGGTGACTGACCGGCTCCTCTCTCCAGGCTGGTGATCCGGAACTCACGTCCGTCGGACGCCGGCAACTACGGCTGCCACGTGATCTGGCCGTTGCCGGAGCGGTGGCAGAACTACAGCCTCCAGGTCACCAGAGCCGACTATGACGACAGCTACAGAGACGACTACGGCGACGAGCCGGCCGAGCGGGACGGCGGCAGCGCGGAGGAGGTCACGGACCTCTGCGCTGTCGTCGAGCCCGGTGCCACGCCTGGGACAAACGGCTCATTGGTGCCACGCGCGCCCCATTTCGACGAGACAGCCCGGCTGCGCCGGCTGGAGGTGGTGCTCGCCGGCAGCCCGGTCACCTTCCGCTGTCCGGCCAGAGGTCAGGCCCGGCTCGGCGCGCTGGGGAGGCGCGCGGACGTGCTGCAGTGTCGGGGCGGAGGAGGCCGGGGGAGCGGCACCTGCCGAGAACGTAGGGGCCGTGCGAAGCTGTCAGTGGTTCAGCATGGCTTGTAGCCTGTTTGTGCTGAAAAAGCTTCGGGCATGAGCGTGTCCGGTCCGCGGCATGAGTCGCTCGAGCTCATCTCACCTTACCTTACGTTAGATGGAGTTCCTCACCTTCACCTTACCTTGCACCCCGCCACCTCCCGCAGGTTGCCCGCCGCCACGCGTCCACTGGCTGTACCAGGGCCGGCCGGTGCTGCAGGTGCCGCACGTAGCCGACGTCGCCACGTTCGGTGGCGGCTGGCTCCGCCTGGCCATGGCCGGCCACTTCCAGGAGGGCAGCTACACCTGCGTGGCCGAGAACGCACTGGGGAGCGTGCGCCACACCTTGGAGCTCGTGACTACCAGTCAGTGGTGGCGGCCGAGCTGGTGCGGCCCCCAGCCGGGCCAGCTCGGCCGCGGGCGTGTTCAGAGCTTGACGTGACTGGCACCATCTGTGGATGTGCTGCACGTGGGTGTGCTGTTGTTGGTGAGGTGGAACAATGAGCAGCCGGAGAGGGTTTTCCAGGTGACGGTCTGGCCTCTTCGACTCCGATTCTGTTTGAGGTCGGACCCTGACATGTGGCCGTGATGCCGTTTAGACGCTGCACTGCCGCTCGTGTTTAGCTTCGGCCCGACCCGTGCCGGCTTGTTCCAGCGGACGGTCTGTACAAGGACCCGGTGATCGAGCCGGGGTACCCGCGTAACGTGACGTCGCTGGCCGGCTCCAACGTGACGTTCGAGTGCCCCAGCTCCTGGGACTTCAACATGGACCTCTTCTGGACGTTCACGCGCTCGGGCACCTTTGAGGTGCACAATATGTCCGACATGAGCTACACCATCCAGTTCGCCATCAGCGTTCACAAGGTACGGCTTGGCCGAGGCCTGGACGGGCGCAGCGGCGGACGGGTCCGTATCAGGCGTACAGAACGGCTGGCCACGAGCGGCTACTGGGCCCCATTACCAGATCTGCGGGGCTCCGCGGAGCCCCGGCTGCCGCCAGCCTCGCGCCCAGCCCGGAGCGGCCGGGAGTGGCGTGGCAGTGACCGGCGCGCCGCGCCGCCCGTGCCGCAGCAACGCTACGACATCAGCGACCGGCAGCGGCTGGTGGTGCGGGGCGTCAGCGGCGACGACAGCGGCTTCTACACCTGCCTGTTGTACAACCACATCGGCTTTGACATGGCGAACGCCCACCTGCGCGTGGTGGAAGGTGAGGAATGAGACGGGCTGGCCGCGTGACACGCGGAAGGCTGGCCGGGGCTCGAGTGTCGGTCAGAGCAGCGGCAGGGCTCTCGAGGAGGTAGGCTCGGGTGATATGAGGTCGGTGGGTCTGCGCTCCGCAGGTTTGCAAGTTCTGTGAACATGTTGGCGCTTGTTTGAATATAAGGCGGCGCTTGTTGCAATATAAGGCGGTGCTTGCTTGAAGTGCGTTTGCTTGTGAGACCGTAACTGATTGCATATTCGGCGGCTGTTGTATCGTATGAAGGCATCCGGGACCGTGCAACCTGAACGAGGATCGTGGTGCCACGCTTCGGCTAAATGAAGGTGCCAACCTTAAGCGCCAAGAGGACAAACGGCTTTGGTTGAGGACGTTTACCGTTGTCGCGTGGTAACGTGAATCATGCTTGTTTGGTTTGGAGCAGCTCTGAGATGTCGAATGGCAGGTAATGCCTGTCGCGACCGTTTTGTCAGGCACTCTCAAATCACTCAGGCGTATCAGCAGTCCACTGCTAGAATACCATGCTGGCTATCGAGGTACCGGCGAGAATCGGGACTTGGTGTTCCAAGGTGTCATCGGTGAGTTAAAAACTTACCGGCCTATGTCAAAGACGAGGTGCCAGGTCATGTGTTGGTACCGATGTCCTACCACGGGCATTTCGGCGTCACCGGTCTGAGAGAGGGCGCTGCGCGCGCGTATTTCCCAGAGGTGCCGCGGGCGGCGCTGCCCATGCGGCCTGCCAACGCCAGCGCGCTGCTTGGCTCGCGCGTGACGCTGGAGTGTCCAGCTGCGGCCGCCGCCACCAGCGGCGAAGTCATCTGGCTGCGCTCCGAGACTGGCGCGGTCCAGCTGACGACGCCGCGGCAGTTGGAGCAGGCCAGGCAGCACGCGCTGTCCAGCTCAGAGGTGAACATTTAGCTTTGATCATCGCGGTCTGGGTTAGGCTGGGGTGTGTGCTCCATGTCTGGACTGGTGGTGATTTGTAGCCTCTCGTGCCAGCTGGTGTCTCCTGCATTTGCTTCAGTCTCACTGACATTGGGGTCATCGTGTTGGGTTGGGCAAACCGCAAGCTTTGATGCTCGCTGATCACGATTGTGTTTGTGGCGAGAAGCGGAAAGTGGGTGCCAAAGTCCAATGCAAATGAAGTACATTAGCACTTACTGTTGGTATCATAGCCCGTACACCCTCGTACGTGGTTTTGGAGACCGCCATGCTTGTTGCTGCAGGTTGACGGCAGTCGCTTCAACACGTCCTCGCCGCCCCGTCTGATCATCACGAACGTGACGGCCAACGACTCGGGGTACTACGTCTGCGTCGTCCACACTGCCTGGGACGTCGCATACGCCTCGGCCTATGTCGCAGTGGCGGAGGGTAAGACATGCTCGTGTCGTCCACGGTGCCCGGGACGCCTCGGCCTACGTCACAGTGGTGAAAGGTAAGACATGCTCGTGTCGTCCGCGGTGCCCAGTACCCCTCGGCCTATGTCACAGTGGTGGAGGGTAAGGCATGCTCGTGTCGTCCACGGTACCCGGTACGCCTCGGTCTAGGTCACAATGGTGGAACGTAAGACATGCTCGTGTCGTCCACGGTGCCCGGTACGCCTCGGTCTAGGTCACAATGGTGGAAGGCAAGACATGCTCGTGTCGTCCGCGGTGCCCGGTACGCCTCGCACGCTTCGGCGTGCGCCACAGCAGCCAAGGATGTGTCTGTGACCAAGCCGCCGTTTTTTTCTTGCGCCGCAGCACTCGCGAATGTGCTGCGATAACTCGGTAAACAGTTCGAGTCTGGGATGACGCGGGGGGGGGGGGGGCGTCCAGTGGCACCTCCGGTTTGGTGACGTGTCCCAGCCCGGTGCCCCCGCCGTCCGCACCATGCCGTACGTCCGCCCGCTCGGTGGCGCTGCAGGTCCGGGCGGACCGCCGGCGCCGGCTCGCTGGCCGTTGGGGCTGATGTCGACGGCGATCGCCGCGGTCGTCGCCTGTGCGCTGCTCTCCGCGGCGCTCTGGTACGGCCGCCTCCGGGACAGACGGCTCATCCGCACCTTGACCAGGCGCGTGGTGATCGAGGCGTCGCCAGAGGAGTTCGCCGTGCCCGTGGTGCGCATCGAGCCGTGCAGGTATGTGGCGCGCGCTCAGGGACGATGACTGTGTCGGTGGCGCGGAGTCCCGGGAGAGACGCTCCGCCAGCGTTCAGGGGATGGTCCGTCACCGTTCGCGTCGTGCCGGGGTGTGCTGTGTGGTGACCAAATGGCTACTCTGGGATGGTGCCACGTTTGTTGTCGGACGCGTTGTGCCATCCGACCGTGATGGCTGATGTCGATTGCAATGCTCCGGTTTGTGTTCAGCCTCCGATGTCCGTGTCCCGCAACGTGAGCGCTTACGTGGCCGAGTAGCCGGATACACCCTGTCGCGGTCCAGCACCGCGTGTCCCAGCTGTGGAGCGTGGCCGGGGGGAGCGCGTGCTGCGTGTCGCGCGTGGCCGAGCCGACGGCGTCGTCTTCCCGTCAGAGCGTCGGAGGGTGGCGCGGCGTCGCCCGCCTACCTGCTGCCGCCGGACCCGGCCTGGGAGGTGGCGCACGATCGGCTCCAGCTGGCCGACTGTCTGGGCGAGGGCTGCTTCGGCCGCGTGGTACGCGCCCGCCTGCGGCCGGCCGGCCGGCAAACGCACCCCGTCCGCGTCGTCGCCGTCAAGATGTTGAAAGGTCAGCGGGTCAGAACTTGTGCGGCTATTGGGGTAGTGACGCTTTCGGCTGTTTAACGGTGTTTGTGAAACCGGCCGTCGTCGCCTTTTGTCATGTCGATTGTAGCGGAGATCGAAACGTGGCTGATGGCGAGTTTCGAACGCGCTGCTTCGGGGAGCCAGGGCGTGCGCCGTCCTGGGTTTCAACGTCCCCCGGATGAGCTATAGTTCACGGGCCAGCCCGGCACCGGCGCCATGCCGAGACGACGAGCGCAGCCGGCGCTCGCGTGCAGATAGTCGCTGCGTTGTTAGCCCGAGTCACTGCGGTTCTGCGGTCTCTGGGAACTGTCCGCCGGCCGACCCGGCTGGCGCGGTTTGTGATAGTGCGCCGGCACACTGCGGGAGTGAGTGACAACTGGGAGGTGTGGCGGTGTGGTGTCATCCGGTGCCTGGTGCGGCGCGTCAGCCGCTAAATCGCCATCAGCAGGAACAACTGACCGTCTCGGTGGCCGCGACAGCTGACTGGTCTGAGGCTGCGGGCAGCGGCGGCCGGTGAGGGCTGCTCGGTTGGGTGGGGGCTGTCGGCTACATTGGTGTTCTGACGGCTGGCGGACCGGTGGTTCACAGAGCACCACCGCGACGCGGACCTGATGGACCTGGTCTCCGAAATGGAGATGATGAAGAAGGTCGGATCGCATGTGAACATCGTCAGCCTGATCGGCGCTTGCACGCGCAGCAGCTCGCTGATGGTCATCATGGAGTACGCCGAGCACGGTCAGCGCGGCGTCACCCTTCCGGACTCTGCCCTCTCCCCCGCTGGAGACGGTGGCACGGTGTGCTTGGTCGGCGCAGCCAACAGATCACAGTCGTTGCAGGAGGGGGGAGGGGGGGGGAGGTGTCAACAGTCCGTTGGGTGTGCCAGTTGTGAGCGGTATGTGAATGCGTTGATTGCAACACTGCACACGTTGCATCACCTCGGGCCCCGGATGCGGGCTCCAAACCACGTTGTTAGGGACCGCAACAGCGTCTTAGAAAGTCCTAAGGCACAAGCAAAAGTTAACAATAACGCTGAATTGACTTATCTAGGCGACATTGGGGCTCACAAGCCTGGGGAAGCTGACCAGTATTCATGTGTACGACACAGTGCTGCAGCGATACATGCACCTGGCGTGTGCCGCAGTTGGAGCCGGTCCTGTCCGTGCACGCCCTCCCATCTCTCAGGAGGCAACAGGTGCCGCGCCCGTTGGCTGACCGCCCCTCCCCCAGGCAACCTCCTGACGTACCTGCGCGAGAGGGCAGAGTGCGAGCGGCCGTTTGACGCCGAGCTGCCCTTTCCGTGCGACCTGGTCAACTTCGCCTTCCAGGTGGCCCGCGGGATGGAGTACCTGGCCAGCCGGAAGGTACGTACCGCGGTCGCCTTAGCGGCACCGGTCTGTCCGTTGTTGGACAGGTTTGGCTGGCTCGGTGTTGCATGGCTTAGATAGCTGCTTTGTCTCCGACTGCTGGATGTCAGTACGTACGTGCGCTGCTCCTCTGAGGCCGTCCTGTTCTGGTTATTTCTGTAGCGGAGCGCGTCTGATGCTTCAAGCCCGCGTTGTGCAGTCTCGCCCGTCGTCGCAGTTCCGGTTCGTCTGGTTCGTTCGTTCGTTACCGCTCTGGTTCGTTCGATCAGCTCGGGCGTTGCGGCTCCATTTGTGACACTTTACACACCTTGCCATACACCTTACCCCACACCTTACCCTACACCTTACCCTAAACCTTACCCTACACCTTACCCCACACCTTACTCCACACCTTACCCCGTGCCTTACCCCACACCTTACCCTACACCTTATCCCACGCCTTACCCCACACCTTACTCTACACCTTACCCTACACCTTACCCCACACCTTACTCTACACCTTACACTACACTTTACCCCACACCTTACCCCACACCTACCCCGGTCACTGACCAGTTGCTACTGGATATTCCTAGTGCAGAGACGATAAGCAACACTGTTGAGAAGATGCGGGACTTTCCACAGCGCTGCAGCCCACAGCTGTCCTGTCAGACATGCCATCCCTCACTACACCGAGCGCTGCGAAGGCCCGCCGCCGCCCGACGACAGGTGGCACCAGCCACCGCACCGTGTCTTCCACCGCACCGCTTGCCACCGCACCGCTTACCACCGCACCGCGTCTTCCACCGCACCGCTTGCCACCGCACCGCGTCTTCCACCGCACCGCTTGCCACCGCACCGCGTCTTCCACCGCACCGCTTGCCACCGCACCGCGTCTTCCACCGCACCGCTTGCCACCGCATCGCGTCTTCCACCACACCGCTTGCCACCGCACCGCGTCTTCCACCGCACCGCTTGCCATCTCACCGCGTCTTCCACCGCACCGCTTGCCACCGCGCGGTCGGGCGTCGCCGAGAGACGCTGCACTGAACGGTCACCTCTCCGCCGCCAGTGTATCCACCGAGACCTGGCCGCCCGGAACGTGCTGGTCGGCGAGGACAAGACGCTGAAGATCGCTGACTTCGGCATGGCCAGGGACGTCAGAGAAAAGGACTACTACCGCAAGGTCACCGGTGGCCGGCTGCCGGTCAAGTGGATGGCGCCCGAGGCGCTGTTCGACCAACTTTACACCACTGGGTCCGATGTGTACGTACGCTGACGCTGTGGTCATGGATCTGTGACGCCACTCGTGGCTCAAACGTACGCTTGTGTGTGCGGTGGGCAGGGATGGACCTCCTTTTTGTGTGACGATGTGGGAAGGAATGCAGGTGAATGTACTGCAGAGGGCACATCTGACAGGAACCGTTTGGAGCACGGCGCTGCTGCGGGCTGGCTGCCTGGAAATGCGCCTCTGGTTACGTCTCGTGGGGACTTGTGGAATCAAGAAGCGGACATTTTAAGGGTACCTCTGCCAGGCGCTACTGTTGACACCAGACTGTTCCCGGCCGGCAGCTGGTCGTTCGGCGTGCTGTTGTGGGAGATCATGACGATGGGCCGCGCACCGTACCCGACCGTCAACAGCGTGGACGAGCTGGGCGACTGGCTGCGGCAGGGTCGGCGCATGGCCCGGCCGGCCGCCTGTCCCGCCAGCGTGTGAGTCCCACCGGAGTCTTTGCGGTGTCGCTGGCGCCGGTGCCGCCGCCGCCGGTTGGCCACACGCCTTCGGTCGGGGAGAAACGGCTCAACGGGCTCGGCGCCTGCAGCTGCACCGTAGAAATTATAGGTTTTGGCATTGTAGTTTTGTGTTTTGTAAATATTTTTGATTCCAGCTGCTTTCTGCTGTGGCTAATAGCACCTTAAGCATTTCACGATGTACTGTCATTACGCTCGATGTTTTTTTCGGGGCTGCACATGCTCTATCAAGAGCAGTTACTCCCGTTTTTTGTACATTATCGTACCGGTGCAATAGTGCTGTCATGTTCCCAGATGCGCGCGGCGCATGTGACGTAAACAATACAACCTCTCATGCTTTTAAAGCTGGCCGGGTTATTGCTCGGCGGCTGGGAGAAACGCCATCAGACGTTTGTTGCCTGGGCTCCTGGAGGGCCACCACCCGATGTATTGTGTAGTGACGCCTGATGCTATGTCTACGAGGCCTGGTAAGTGCCCACCGCCCAGCACTGGCCGAACACGGGACCAGGCCCCGACAATCGGGGCATATACGTTAATGCATATCTCGCCGCGCCATCTTTTGTCACGCCCCACCGCCCGGCCGCGTCAGCGGACCTGCTCGAGCGGCGGTCCCGGCGCGGTCCGCCGCGGAGGCTGCGCAGCTCGAGACCCGAGGCCGGTCCGTGACGCGGCCGCGCCCCGCCGCAGGTACGACGTGATGCTGGACTGCTGGCATCAGGAGCCGGCCGAGCGGCCCTCGTTCGGCCGGCTGGTGCAGCGGCTGGACGCGGTGCTGGCGGTGCTGACGTCCATGGTACGGCTGCAGCGCAGCACTCTCGGCACGGGGACACGGGAGCTCACAGTGTTGGAGCCTGGTGAGGCGGTGTTGCCAGGTGGCCAGGCGACGCCGGCGGCGCGGGCGGCCGCAGCAGCGTCGCTGAAGGTCGTGATTCTGGCTGGGCTGCCGGCCATTGTCGGTGGGATGGAAAGCCGCGGGGAGATTTGGGTTCGGAGACAGGCTCTTACGAGGCCCAGAGACGTTGCGTGCATCGGGAGACCGGGACGTGGCCAATGTCGCCGACTGCAGGCTCGCAGCAGTGGAGTGGCTCGTGTCGCAGCAATACCCCCCCCCCCCCCGGCGCAGTGTCCGGGCTGACGAAGAGAGTGACCTGTCCGACTTCATCGGCCGTCTGCCTGCCGCCCCCAGGAGTACGTGGCCATGGTCTCGCCCCAGCCGCACGTCGAGTACACGAAGGTGGAGGTGCTGTCTGCGTCGCCCTCTGCGTGGGCCTTGCCCTCGCCGCTGGGCAGCTCAGGCTGAGGGCGTCGACCGAGGGATCAGCGAGTCCGCAGAGACATGGACTCGTGCCCTATAACGTCAGCGGACTTCCGTGACATCCGCGTCAAAGAAGTGCTCAGGTTTGTTTTTAACAGTGTTCCTCACCGGACTTCCAGTGTTCCTCGGCGGGCTTTTAGTTGACAGTGTGGTGCCTCGCTAGGACAGTGCGGCGCCTCGCTTGGACAGTGCGGCGCCTCGCTAGGACGGTGCGGCACCTCGTTGGTAAGGACTGCGGCGTGGTATTTCTGCTTGGGTTGAACAGAATGCAGCGTGGGTTGGCCTAAGCCGCTCAACCCATGTTTAAGGCCGTGGTTTTTCTTTGTTTTTGCAAGCGGACTGCATTGGTGTTTGAGTTGCTCTTGATATGGGTGTTGGAGATCTCCGGTGTGGTGCCTCGCGAGGGTCGTCTCCCGAGGCCTGGGTGTAGTGTTTCTGCTTTGGTTTAACGGATGAGCGGATAGTGCAGGTTGGCGGAATAGTTCGTCTTTCATGTGAGGTTGTGCTTGTATAGTCCGCACCCCTTCGAAGTTTGTGAGCGCATTTCCATTGTACGGGTAGATGTGACGTACCAAGCAAAGCCTTCGAGGTTTGTGAGCGCATTTCCATTGTACGGGTAGATGTGACGTACCAAGCAAAGCCTTTCGAAGCTTGTGAGCGCACTCCTCTTGTACGGGTACATGTGACATGCGAAGCCAGAGCATGATCATGGTAGCCCATGAAGAAGGCCTTTTTATTTGAAGTGTTTTCGTTCCATTGTTTTGCGTAGCGAAGTCTAGCTTGTCAAGCGAAATGTTTATTTTACTACAAGTTCATGACCTAGGTGGTATCTGGAACGAAGTCAAGCATGTCAAGCACAGTGTTTATTTTACTACAAGTTCATGACCTAGATGGTATCTGGAACAGTTTTAATGGCATAGTTGCTTTGACGGGTTTCATGGCAGTAGAGACTCCTTACGTTACGATCATATCAAGGACCGGGTATTTGTGGTGCAGCTGTGATGTTTCTGCTGTGATTTTTGCCGGCGCCTGAGTGCTTGGACTGCGGCGTACCTTGTGATTGAAGCGACTACGTAGTGAATATGCATGCATTCACCTTCGCGTCAT